TTTATGTATATATGTGTGTGTGTCCGTTTTCTTTTAATACTTATGCTTACTTGTCCCTTCATGAGGTACATCAATGCAATCTAATCAAACAACTGTGCCACATTTTCTTACTCCAGATGAGACAATAGTCCGTTCAGTTTTGACCAGTGTTGTCAAAGAGGTGTTAATTCAATTTTCTGTCTACTGTTGAAGGTGCAGACTGCAGTGCTTCTCAACTGGACTGCAATTTATTGAGACTTGGTTTTAATATTCTTCTCCTTCATGTTTAAAAAGGGAGTGGATTACATATAAGGAACAACCAAAGTCAGGCAAAAATGAACTCTGTTGTCTCAGCCAAAAAAAGAAATTGTAGTGGGGTTGTTGGATCAGGTTGCACAGATGTTCCTGATTAAGTGATGGCTTTATTTCATTCTCTTACATGCCACTACTCAGGTAGGTACCCCGCCCCCCCCATGTTGAAGCAGAGTAGGGATAAAACACCATGTTGCCCTCTTGTTGAAAAATATCTTGATCTTGATATCTCCTTTTTTAAATGACCAAAAACTGCATCTCTCTTCTAAACACACATTTTTGAGCACTTGCCTGGATGGCCACCCGTGTTTCTGCACCCCCTCCATGAAAAATCCAAAAGCTGTTTCTGCTTTATTGTTCCCGGCTGTATCCAAGTAAAAGATCTAGAACAAAGCAGAGCCTTTGTATAGTACTTCAACAAGACATAGACTAAATTATAGATTGAAAAAGAAAAAAATATATACCTTCCGTGAAAAGCCATCGATTGCTCCAAAAACTACAATGTTGTACCTAAAAAAGTTAATGGTTCAGGCTGTATATTGACTGAATTAAATAAAATCAAAAATAGCCTTGAAATAGGTCAGTTGGAGAAAGAACAATATACCTTATCAACTTGTGGTTTGTGTCAATATGGACGAGAGACAGGGGAGCAAGAACAGAGTATGTCCTTCTGGTGATGCAAGACAGCTGGATCATCCTGGAAATGACTCCGGCACCATCCACACGCTGCAATGACCTCCTAACCCGTCTCCATGGAATGCGATGCCCCGATGCTTCAAGAGAACCTTTGATAAGTCTATAACCTGCATGGGGCATTTGTGCTTTGATAGACCTAACTTTCTGATCAAGCACATCATCTGTTATGTCAGAATAACATTTCCTGACAGAAAGGTTATGGTCTTTCATCCTCCTGTAAAGAGACCTCGAAATTCCATGGAGGTCGGACAAAGAAGTCAGGGGTAACCCAGTGCTAAGCATATCTAATAGAGTCTGGCTTTCTATGGTTATCTGAGGTCGTCCGACACTGCCTCTTAATTCAGTCACAGCTACATCATGAAATAGTGGTGGGATGACCCTCTGTGACAGATAGCCGCTAACAATGTCAGACAGCTGCTGAAGACTAAGTAAAACACTATCAGGAATGTCCATATATGATGCTCCAGCTTGAAGAAACTGCAGCTCCTGAGCACAAACAAAGTGCAGGTATTCGTAATCAATGGGTTGTCTGTTAAGGTAGAGGCAACTCTATCCCTGACCCTACACAGAAGGTGCCACTGCATGGCTTCCTGCAACACAAGAAAACAAACTTCAGATGGTATGCTTCTGAAACAACAAAAAATAAAGATTAAAAGTAGATTACATAAAAGTTAGCAACAACGCTTTTAAGAAGTAACCTTGATAGCGATACATTGATTTCATTATTCTCTATATCCGACTGTGCCTACCAGGATGCCTGACTTATAGTTATGTATCAGGATGAGGATCAAGAATGGGGCCCAGCTCAGAATTGTTTTCAAATGGGAACCGCAATTAATGTAATTTTCCTTTGTGCTTAACAATACCCTTATAAATGACTATTGTCTAGATCTGAGTGCTGAGGATGATCTCAGGATGGTGACTGTGTGTTTTTAAGTAAGAGTGAAAACAGCAGCAACATACTGAAACATTTGTCAACCTAGCCCAGAATTTGATATCATTTGTACAAATTGATGAGGAAGGCTGATTCAGTACAACAGGAGGATTCAATCATACAACTGCAGAGCTGATATTCATTTTACTTGTTGATCAGAGCACAAGTACTAAGGACTTCTATTTTCTAAACATAAATCAGGAAACATCTAAAAGGGAATCGGTTTAGAATTAAATTGATAAGCAGAATCTATAATTGCAATGGTATACATAAAACTGTATCAATTCCCACCCCTATGTCTGTGATCATGCAGAGTACATGTGTCATTAAGGATCTATTCCTGCCGTGCTTGTTATACTACTGGGCAACAATGCAGAGAAGGTAATAGTTTATTTCTTACCACCCCCCCACCCACAATGACAATACTATGATAAAATGTACATGAAATTGAGGAGGGAAAAAAACTACCTGACCCTGAGGTCCATCAGGATGGTTCTCCATCCTCCTGTGAAGACAAGGAAAATTAATCTCCATGAGTAAAAACTGTTATAATAACAGGTACCTCAGTAACCTAACTGCTTTCAGGTATCAGTAACAGTGATTAATACAGTGTCTGTCATTTATGCAACTTCAGGAGACCAAGTGGATTATGATCAAACACTAATGGATGAAGATCAGTGAAAGTATGCCCCCTTTTATAACTCTTTACTTAATGTATCGCAGGAATGACTAAACGATCCACACACACACACCTGATGATTTGTTCTGATAGTATATCTAATTAAAGTGTATTTATTTATACATAAATAAGCTGCTATCTGTGAGATGAATCAAACTGTCACTGAAGCCAGGGCAGTAATAAGCTTGTCAGTCACTTCTGACGAGCGCAGAGCGCTAAGCTGGTTCGTCTGAATTATGAGTGTTAATGTCTGATAATGCTTTCTCTACTGGTTGGGAATAAAAAGCACCAGAAGAGCGACAAGTGTAAACTTAATAGCATCAATAAGACAGTAAAGTTACGCAAAACATACCTGTTATGATCGATGTTTGTCACCGTCTGCTAACTCTCCGTGTCTCCCTTACCGCCGGCTCACTGTGGGGGCGGAAGTTGTCACCCCGTCTCTTTGAGTGAGACTGACCAATCAGGAGGCTTCTTACAGTTTTCAGAGGAGGTCCCGCCCATGAGAGTCATGCAGAAACGCAAGCAAAACTTCAAGAAACGCAAACGAAAACTCAGGAAACGCAAACGAATCTGTGGTTCATGAGAACAATATTTTGGTTTGTAAACAAAACTTGTGGATTTATCAAGATACAATTTTAATCACAAATATATTTTATTCATTCATGGGCATTTTTTTGTATTTTTGAAATCATAATTTTGTTTGCAAAATATTTTTTTGTTTTCAAATCCATTCTTTTTGATTGCATATTAAAGACACAAAATTAACTCCATACTCCTGGTGGATAGACAGACCCTTGCAACCGGTTTCTACAAATTAAACTTAGGGGCGTTACCAGTCGGCCCTGTATGCACTACGTCATCGCAGGGGATCTCATTAGAGCTACGAGCCCGGCCAGGTGACGACAGGGACCTGTCACGGATCGGTCAGGGCTCTACCACAGGCCAAACGGAAATTTGAAGTGGCTGCATCCGTAAGTCCAAGATAACATATATTATGGGGCTGCTTAATGGGAATGCATTAGCTTGGGCTACAGATGTATGGAAGGGTCATCCTGCAGTTAGTTCCTCATATGCTAACTTTGAGATGAAAAGAAGTTTTTGATCATCCAGTCTGGGACAAAGATGATGCCAGACATCTTCTTCATATTCGTCAGGGTACCCGTGGTGTAGCGGAATATTCTGTTGAGTTCAGGACCATTGCTGCAGATTCTGGCTCTAATGATTCTCTCCAGGGTTTTTTTAAAAAATGGTTTTAATGATGTAATTAAGGATGACTTAGCAGCAATGGACGACAGAAATAGCCTTGACTCCCTCACCTCCTTGTCCATCAAAATAGATAATTGCCTACGAGAGCATCGCAGGGAGAGAGCTCACTGCCCACAATCCTGATCCATTCCTTATCATCCTTCTCCCCCTATCACGAGGACCAACCCCAGTAATCCTCCTGCAAGTGCTTTTGCTGCCATTTCCTTGCCTCTTGCTTCCTCCGGCCAAAAGGGGGAGCTCACCAGTAGCAGGACTGGTGAGTCAAACCTCCTTTTCCTTCCCACGTATGTAGTTCCAAGGCACACTGTGTCACTCACCAAACTTGTCCTCTGCTTCTCATTCTTTTATTCTTTTCTTATTTCAGGAAACCACCATGTGCAAATTCAGTTTCACTTCATCTCATCTCATCTCATCTCCTCTTACTCTGATAATTTTTGGACGGCCTTGGCTGAGACTGCACAATCCCCACATCGACTTGGCAGCAGGAAAGGTAGTGAGCTGGAGTTCCATCTGTCATTCGACATGCCTGCATGCCTGCTCTTCCCCCAGTGGGCACTGATACTCCATCTTCATCCAAACCAGAAACTCTTGATCTTTCCAACATTTCCCCTGAATATCATGACGGTAGTGAAGTCCTCAGTAAACAGCATGCCCTATCCCTACCACCTCACCACCCATACTATTGTGGAATCAACCTACTCCCAGGAGCACCTCTTCATACCAGTCCTTTGCACAACCTGTCCTGTCCAGAGAGAGAATCCATGGAGAAGTACATCAAGGAATCCCTTGCAGAAGGTATTATTCACTTAGCTTCCTCCACTGCTGGTTCTTTTTTTGTGTCAAAGAAGGATCACACACTCCGTCCTTGTATTGATTATTGTGGCTTTAACAACATAACAATCAAGAACAAGTATCCTCTGCCTCTGAAAAGTTCAGCTTTTGAGTCCCTGCATGGTGCCACAGTCTACACTAAACCGGACCTGAGAAACGCCTACCATCTGGTTCGGATACAGGAGGGAGATGTGGGGAAAACCGCCTTCAACACGCCCCTTGGACATTTTGAGTATCCGGTTATGCCCTTTGGGTTGACCAATGCCCCTGCTGTCTTCCTGGCTTTGGTTAATGATGTGCTTCGAGACCTGCTCAACTGCCCTGTCTTTGTTTACCTGGATGACATCCTGATTTTCTCCCGCAACATGGAGGAGCACATTCAACACGTCTGCCTGGTTTTGCCACGTCTTCTGGAGAATAAGCTGTACGTCAAGGCTCAGAAATGTGAGTTTCATGTCGATTCAGCAAGCTTTCTGAGGTACATCATTAAAGGTGGGGATGTGAGGACTGATCTTGACAAGATTCGGGCAGTGGCAGCATGGCCAACATGCACTTCAATAAAGCAGCTTCAATGGTTCCTGGGCTTTGCAAATTTCTACCGACGCTTCATTAGAGACTACAGTCGAATAGCTGCACCCCTGACCAAGCTCACCTCCTCTGTAGTTCCCTTTTCCTTGACCCCTGAGGCAGAGCAGGCTTTCACTGAACTCAAGAGGCACTTCACCTCTGCACCTGTTCTTGTTCAGCCCGACCCCTCACGTCAGTTCATTGTGGAAGTGGTTGCTTCAGGTACCAGGGTCGGAGCTGTGCTCTCCTAGCACTCTGCGTCAGATCAGAAGCTCCACCCTTGTGCTTTTTTTTTCTCGTCATCTGTCCCCTGCTGAACGCAACTATGACATTGGGAACTGTGAGTTGCTCTCAGTAAAGCTGGCATTGGAAGAATGGAGACATTGGCTGGAAGTTGCAGAGCATCCCTTCATTGTTTGGACTGATCATAAGAATCTTGCTTACATTCAAACAGCCAAACTCCTGAACTCAGACCAAGCTCATTGGGCATTGTTCTTTGATCACTTCCGATTTACACTCACCTATCACCCTGGTACAAGAAATATTAAACCAGATACTCTCTCTCACCAGTATGTCTGTGAGGAAACCTCTGCAGCACCTGACACCATCCTCCCTTCCTCCTGGGAGATTGAGTCTCTTGTCATAAAGTCACAGTGTGTTGTGTCTCATCAAGTATGTTAATTTTATTCATGTTCATGTTTAGTGTTTCATATTTTATGTCATGCCTTAGTTTAGTTGCATGTTTAGTCCTTTGTTGTCATGAGCACTTGTCATGAGCACTTTATGTTTAGTTAAAGTCACTCATGTCCAGTCTCGTCGTGCACTTCCTGTTTTGTTTTGTACTCACCTTTTCCCTCTCATTTCAGACCATGACTTCCTCCCTTTGTGTGATTTTCCCGCCATTGTGATTGTCTACCCCGCCCCTGATTGGTTTTACCTGTGTTCCCCTACGTCATGTATAAATAGTCCTTGTCTCCCTTTGTCTTGTTGCCAGTTTGTCTTGTTCAGTCTGTGTGATGCCAGGTTTTCATGTTATCAGGTTTGATTCTAAGTTGTGATATTTTTTGATCCTCATTGTGAGTGTTTTGTTTTGAACTTTGTATATCCTCCTTGAGAGCGCCTTTTGTTTAAATTGATTTTGCCAAGTAAAATACTTTTGTTAAACCTACTGTGAGTCGTGCATTTGAGTCCACCAGTTTCGTGTCTGAGGTCGTTACACAGTGCACCCAACCTCATCCAGGTAACGGTCCCCCAACTGTGTTTTTGTGCCAGACTCTGTCCACTCCCAGGTTCTCCAGTGGGTGCACTCGTCTCGCTTCACCTGCCATCCTGGAACTGGCTACACTCTCTCTCTCCTGAAGATGCTGATACTTGTGCCTTTGTTTCCGCCTGCACTGTGTGTGCTTGTGGAAAGTCCAACCACCGCTCTCCAGCTGGTCTGGTCTGCCCTCTGCCTACACCTGGCTGTCCTTGGTCCCATATTGCTCTTGATTTTGTCACCGGATTACCCCCATCCCAAGGTAACTAAACCATTCCCACAATAGTTGACCATTTCTCCAAAGCTGTGCATTTTGTGCATCTGCCTAAACTCCCCACCGCCCTTGAGACAACAGAGTTGCTCATCCATCGTGTGTCCATTTCCACGGCATCCCTTTGTCAGACAGAGGTCCACAGTTCATCTCTCAGGTATGGAAATTATGTTGTCAAGCTCTTGGAGCATCAGTTAGTCTCTCCTCTGGTTTCCATCCCCAGACAAATGGTCAAACTGAGCATGCTAATCAGGATCTGGAAGCTGCCCTTCACTGTGTGGTTGAGCTCTTCCTGGAGCTCACACCTTCCCAGGGGTGTAGTAAGCCCACAACTTACTGACCTGCGCTGCAACCAGTATGTCCCCTTTTGAGAGTATATTGGGCTATCAACCGCCTCTGTTCCCAGCTCAGGAAGAGGAGGTCTCTGTGATGTCAGTGCAGGCTCATCTCCGGCAATGCTGCAGGATCTGGAAGGTCATCGTGCTGCTCTGCCCCACATGGCCAACCGCAACCAGCGCCTTGCAGACCGCCATAGGATCCCAGCTCCCACCTATCAGCCAGGTTAGAAAGTTTGGTTATCCTCTAAAGACACTCGACTAAAGACTGGTTCCAAGAAACTCTCACCATGCTTCATTGGCCCTTATAAGATCAAAACTGTTACCAATTCATCTGTTGTTAAACTGAAGTTGCCCAGATCCATGAGGATTCATCCCACCTTTCATGTGTCTCAGTTGAAACCAGTCTCCCTCAGTCTGGAAGTCCCGATCCTCCTCCGCCCACCCAGATCATGGATGATCATATGGCCCTCACCATCTGGCAGCTGCTATCTATTTGCCGTCGTGGCCGGGGATATCACTACGTCATTGATTGGGAGGGATATGGTCCTGAGAAACGTTGCTGGATCCCTCAGCGTGTCATCCTTGATCCTGCTCTCATCAGGGACTTCCACCGGGGCCCATCCTGAAAGTCCTGGGGGTTAGCCTGGAGGCTCTCATTAAGGTGGGGTATGGTCACAGCCCTGGCTGTGCCATTAGTTTCCCTGTGCTTTTCCTTGTCGTCTGTTTCCCCTCCCCTTGTCTGTCTCTGTTTGTCTGTGCTGTGGGCGTGGCAACTCCCTCACTCTCCTGCATTCCTTCATTCATTCAACTCACCTGTTCTCTGCTGCCCACCTGACAACCATCCAGTAATCAACCCTGCAGTATAAAACACCGGCTCTCCTCTCCAGTCTTTGCCAGATCGTTGAGTCCACCACTGTGGTATAGTCACACTTCAGGCTGTTGTTGAATTGTGAATTCAACCCAGACTTTTGCTTGTGTACATTTTTTTTTTTGTCGATACTTACCTTGTATTTTCCTGTGTCATAGGATCACCACCTACCTGCCCGTCTGTTTGTTCTTCTGCCACACTCCCAGCCAGCCAAACCCCTCCAACATAGTTTGCTTCCTTGCCATCAACCCACTCTCCTCAGCCTCAAAACCCCTGGATTTCTCCCCATTGCCACATTCATTATCCTGGCAATAAAATCCCCTTTTTACACTATCTTCCTGTGTCTGTTCTGCATTTGGGTTCACCTGGTTGATTGTAACACTTTAATTTTATATAAAATGATGTTATCACAGGAGAAACTGTGATACATTGGTACATTGTGCATATTGTAGATTACAAACATAAGGGTGAAGATGATTATAAAATGCATTTTAGTAGAATGGTTACAGTAAACATGGCAGCTAAGACATCTGAATGTAATAGTAATTTTTATGTATTTGTTTCTGTATAATACAGAAATCTGTCATCTCAATCTGCTGTTGTAAAACTGATGAATTCACGGGTTAAAACCTGTGTGGTTTTAACAGGGAATGTGTTAGTAGCCAAATTTATAATAACTTTGGTATTATCACCCAACTCAAGCTACATAAGTCTGATCTTAGATAAGCCTGCTTAGATAAAAAAGGAGGTATGCTTTACACCAATGCATATAACAGCTGAGTGCTACTGTTGGTGTTTCCACGTATGTAGTAATTGCTTAACCACAGCGTGTTTTCAGCAGCTCATTTAGCCTCAGGAAGTGAAATCCAGTTAAGGTAAGGGGTGTGACGTTTCTAATACACGCTCTAAGTGTTGCACCAATCACAACAGACTGAGCGAGCTGACTAATCACAGCAGACTGGGCTGCTGGGGAGGCAGGACATAAGCCCAAAGAATGTTTCAGACAGAGGAGCTGCAGAAATGGGCAGTACAAAAAATGAATGTGTTTTTTTTTTAACATTAAGGCACATCTATTCCACTAGACCCCAATATTTAAATTTGACCCCAAAAATGAGCATAATAGGTCTTTAAGCAAACACAGTTTATATTAAATTCGCCCAAATATAAGTTCAGGAAACCTTGTCCTATAAAATGAGTACTATCTGCATGACTCTGTCTGAACTGACCCTTTAAAATAGGTTATATATACTACAGAACCTGTGTCTGGGTCTCATTGCAGAAAGCAGCTAGACAATGAAGCCCCAGGACGGTGTTCAGCCAGTGACCAGCAGCTTCCCTCCTTCCACACAGACTCCAGGACAGTTTGGGGACACACGAGTATGTAATCCTACCCACAGAGTGGGAGGTGTAGGGTCACCCGATCCCCATTCCAAGTGGCAGCACTCATCTGCTCAGGTGTCTCTTTGTAACAAAGTGTAGGCACGACAGGAGGACAGCCATTAGGACAGAAAGCCAGTGAAGAAAAAAGAGCAAGTAAAAGGGAGAGGGATATAGGGAGTTGGAGGGATATGGTCTTAGACAAAGCTCAGCTGAGTGTGGACAATGGCACAATGACTAAAAGCTTTGTGGAGATCAGTACGTTGGACATATCTTGTTCAGTCCCAGGAATACAACTAAACCAGTCTTTTGCATAAGGATTCCTAGTTGTTTTCTCTATGTACATCCTCTCCATTTATTCCACCATCTCTTTTTTTTGCAGATCCCGCCGCCAACACTGCTACTGCTGACACATCAACACCCCCAACAGTAAGTGGATAAATATAGTCAGTGAAATTAGTGCTGAGGCAATCAGCAGTGCCCCTGCACTGTTACTTGGGCTCTTGTTTTTGCTTCAAGGATCCATTACAACTGGTGACAATTAATACGGGACAAATATTAGCCTACATCTCAGTAATGTAGCTAAGACGTCAGTGAACAGTGAGGGTAGCAGCAGAGGTAAGAAGATACAGCGTTGCTGTGATAGAGTGAGTGTTGGGGGGGGGGGCAGACTTGTGAATGTGTGTGTGTGTGTGTGTGTGTGTGTGTGTGTCTCCAGGAGGGGCCTACTTGATGGCACTCAGAGCTTCTTTTAGAACAGAAACATATTCTTTAGTCCAGAGAACAGTCTTGATATCGCTTTGTCTGTTTTTTAATGTGTGACTGTTTGGAGGTCCACAATAGAAAATAGGTAAAATAAATGTCATACACATTGGTTAAACGCTGGTTAGATTCTCTGGGGGTGCAATTCTGTCAAGATATGTGAAGCGTCATTTCAAACTTAAGTGTCTCTATTCAAGCTAACATTCAGCATTGTACGAACAAATCTGCAAGCTTTCCTGGTTTTTCTGTCTACATTCCATTGCACTCTGATATTTTAGTTTGCACTGCTGACATTTCTTGAAAGGACCAGAGCGCAGCAGTGACCATACTAAACCCTTCAACATCACCCTTATTACTGGATTAAACCCAGGTACTGCTGGTTTACTGTAATGCAGAGCTGTAAGTACAGACTGGCCTTACAGCCACATCATCAGCCCAAACATCTCCTTTGCCAAGATGTTCTAAAGACATCTTGAAATCTTGGATAAAGTCTTCAGACTTGTGTCTCAGCTGTCACTAACGACTCAGTAGATGCCTTAATTAAAGAAATCCCCAGCTGTTAGAGTCATGTGGGTCATTTCGCTCTCCACTGCCCCCTTTCAGGAGCTTAAGACGGAGGTACCTGGACAACTGGACCCCTCGAGGATAGAGGTGGTTTCAGTAACAGAGGAAGACCTCCCCACTGTTGAGACCCCCAACACACTAAACGTCAGCCCCCTGGGTAGTTTTGCTGCTGACCCTGAATCAGGGGGCCATCCTGCCAAACTTGAAGAGCCCCAGCCTCCAGCTGCACCTAGCCTGACCATGCCAATCACCAAGGTGCAGCCATTTATCCACGGTGAGACCCTGTGATGTTATTAATGGATATGAAGATGAGTGCACACAGGGAGCGTTACAGTGGGCTTTGCTTGAAATGTGAGATGATGTGACTGACTGACTGTGTTACAAGGATAATAGTGCTACAGCCCACATTAAATTATGTGTACTAGTCTTTAGCTCTTAGTTCCTTAATCCTCTTCACTTTCCTACTGGAACACTGGAGTCAGAGTTGGGTGTGAGGAGAGAAAGTAAATGGTAAATGGACCTGCATTTGTATAGCGCCTTTCTAGTCATCCGACCAAGCAAAGCCTTTTTACACTACAAGTCACATTCACCCATTCACACGCATACATTCATAAACTGGTGGCCGAGGCTACCATACAAGGTGCCACCTGCTACTCAGTTTTTAACACACACATACACACACACCGATGGAAGCATCATCCGAAGCAATTTGGTGTTCAGTATTTTGCTCAATCTACATCATGACGCTGTACTAAATGTTGCATGACTTTCATGGTTTTTGCATTAATTTGAATGACCAGGATCATGTATATTTAAGACTTAGTTATTACCAATATTTTACACTCATTTTTAGGATGTTTTCCACTACAACAGACAGCAGACTTGAACACTAGCATACTGTATGTCCAAACAGCCACAGCAACTACACAGTCAACAACACACAACACACATAGTGATCCAATGTTCTAACAGAGATGTTTTAGGTTACATTTACACTACACACATTTACAGCTCTGGAATCATACTGGTTAGGTAAGAACACTATGAACTCTGATGGTACCAAACAACTACATGAGAGCATTTTGTCGTCTTTTGAGTTGAAGGTGTATTAGATTATAAGGCTGGTGTTATCTTCTAGTTTTCTCTTTGGAAAATGGAAAGCTCCAAACTAATAATTAATGTATCTACTAACAAGTACTGTGTGTGTTTAAAAGCCTGATAGATCTTCTTCCTCTGTGCCACAGAGCACTAGTGTTGTCCAAATCTATTAAATCACATCAGTGAGCCACATTGTTGTTGCACTGGGTGACATGTTCCTTCATTACCATGAACACACCCACTGGAGTTTATTTTGTCTGTATCCCACATACACTGCCCTGCTACCACAAATACTCAATAAGGCCCCAATGACAAAGAAAGTCTTTTGCTGGTTGCAAAACGTGAGGAGCATTGCACTGCTTTTTTTTTTTTTTTTTTTTTTTAAATTGAATGCCTCTAGTAAAAAACGCCTGCTGCACCTATTTATTGTTGCCAAGCAAACAACTCATCATCTCTTCACCCTAACCTTCCTGTGTAATTAATTTTGGCTTGCTAATACTACCCACTTATTTTCACAGTAATTAGTAGCTAGTTCCTAAAATGGACAGGCAGAGGGTACTTGCTGTTGCTCTGGTTGAGGGTGAGAGGCTGTCAGTAAATAGTTTGTTGGGCACAGGGAAATGGACATCTGTGTGGGTACATGAGAGATCGTGGGAACTGCAGTTTGTTAAGTCGTATAGCTCTAGATCCATCAACTGCTTACACCAGTTTCTCCTCTGTGGTTTACCAACTGTCACTGTATTTCTGTTGTTGTGACAACCACAGGAGGCTCGCCTCTCAAATCATCTGATTGGACAAATTGGAAAAGAACAGAGACGACATGGGGCATTTTTCCTCTCTGAGTTGAAGTTTTTTCAACCTAAGGAATTCAGAGCACTCCGGCAAAGATGGCAGGTGCCAAGAGCGCAGAAATGTGAGGCACGTCGCAATGCAAAAATAGCGATGCTTTCTGTGTGATCGAAGCCTAGATCATCAAATATGGATTAATCTGCTACTGAAAGTAGTCTATGACAAATGTACTATTTCCACCTGTTTGAGTAACTTTTGAAAAACAAACTACAGTGACTAGCTGTTTTAGGACATTTGTGAGTCTGTTTTAGAAAATCAAACTATATATTTGTAAGGTGTTCTTAAAGCCTCAGTGTGTAAAAATGGTGAGTAACAGTGACATCAGCGGTCAGATTCTAGATTGCAGCACTCACTCGCGCTCACTCACTCACCCA